GTATTTGATTTTTGTGACTAATATAATATCCATCTTCTAGATCTAATATTAGATGTCATTTTTTTTAGTCTTGATTCTATGAAATGTATCACTATTTCTATTTTTAAATATTATGATGTACTAAATATTCTAAAACATATTGGATTGAATAGTTGGAGGTAGTTTTAGGTGGTTTGATTGATTGACTATATTTTATGTTATATACCGTCTTCAAGCTTGCTTGTAATTTTTTTGTTTGTTAAATAGTATCTTCAGACACAAACAATTACTAGTTTATATAATAAAATAGAACAAGTTTTGAATTCAAAGACAAAAAAATGACTAAGCTCGTTTTATGATAAAAAAATATATATATCATCCGACGGACGATACTATTTCGATTTGTCTCAAACTATTAGGACCTGTTTGGTATGTGGGACAAAGAGGGATTTGGAAGATGGGTTGAGGAATAAAAGTCCACAAAGCCCAACAAACCCATGTTTGACATCTACATTTGTAACCCAATTTACTAAACCCAGCCCACAATTTAAACCCAAATTCATGGGTTTCATGAAACCTAGTGGGGGGTGGGTTTCATATGGGGCTTAATGGGTTTAATATACAAAATGACATTTATACCCCCATAAAACCTATGTACCTAAACAAACATGAATTTGGATTAAATTAGTTAAGGAGCACAATAGTGATTTATATACAAATATATTATCATAATAGTTATATATCCATGCGCATACTAAACATGGATATGGACTGCATTGAATGTTGAATCTCATCTCTGGGATTGGAAGGGTTTGGACAAATCAATCCAAACCCAAAAAACCAACCAAACTGCCCTTTAATATCTAAGATTATCTCAAAATTTATTGTTTCTACGCACCAAAATGAATTCCTAAAATTTTATATCGCCCAAAAAACTTTGGGGTTGTTTGTTTGCTGTTTTATATTTTTGTTTTGAGTTTTTGTAAAAAAAAAAAAAAGAAATGTGTTTGGTAATTATTTTTGTTTTTGTTTCATCTACGTTGTCTTGGAAACAAGCTAAAAAAATGGGAATAAAAAACTAATGTTTTGGGAAACAACCCAAAACTGAAACACGCGAATTTTGACTCAAAATTTTTTAGGGAGAATTACACTCAAACCGCTGAGGTTTGTCATTTAATCATTCAAACCCTCTAAAATTTAAAATATTACACACAAACCCCTTAAGGTTTGTACACGCGTAATATTTAGACCCCTGCCGTCAAATGTCTGTTAGTATATCTTTAATAAATTAAATTCAGACCCCTTAAAGTTTGTAAGTATATAATATTTACATCCCTTAAGTTTAAAATGATATAATTAGACAAAAAATATCTCAATCAAATATAGAATATAAAATATTTTAAATTTTATAACCAAAATTCATTATCTATTGTATCATTTATTGAAATAAAATTAAAAATAAAAGTCAATTTTTTTTTAAAAATAATAATTAATATACAATTATACTATCTATTGAAACAAAACTAAAAAAATCAAGCATGAGATTTAAGTCATTCATAACATAACATGAATTTTACAAACCAAAATTCATATTTTATTATGTCATTTATTGAAATAAAATCAAAAATAAAAATTTATTTTTTTTCTTAAAAAATTCATAATTAATATATAATTATAATATCTATTGAAATAAAACTAAAAAATAAATTAGAGGTTAAACTATAATGAACACAATATATTTTAATTTTACTTGGGATAATTTGGTCGTTTAAATGACCAAATGGTCTGCGCCTTTATGTATCAGGTATTAGTAGGCTCTGCCCCAAGAATCATAGACCGAAAACCTGGAGGAGAAGGCAACAGGCAACGGATGGAGTATTCAGAGAGGTTTTAATTCACATTCATTCAACTGAACAAACGCGAGTTATTAAGTAAGATAAGGCTATCAAACTATAATGAACATAATATATTTTAGTTTTAATTGGAGTAATTTGGTCATTTAAATGACTAAATTAAATTCCAATAGATAGTATGATTATATATTAATTATGATTTTTTTTAAAAAAATAGATTTTTATTTTTTATTTTATTTCAATAAATTTAATAATAGAATATGAATTTTAGTTGTAAAATTTAAAATATTTGATATTCTATTTTTAATTGTAGTATTTTTGATCTAAGTATAATATTTCAAACTTGAGGGGTCTAAGTATTACACGCTATAAACTTAAAGGGTTATGGATGTAATTTATTAATGGATTTATTAACACATTGACGACATGGGTTTAAGTGTAAGTCGCATACAAATCTCAGGGGGTTGTGTATAACATTTCAAATATCAGAGGATCTAAGTGATTAAATGACAAATCTCAAGAAGTCTGAGTATAATTCTCCCAAATTTTTAATGAGGTCTCGAACCTTGTTAACAACAACATTGGATTATTTTTTTAGGGCTAATCTTAATTTGTATATTGAAAGATTACTTGAATCTCAATTTGTACTCTCAAAATTTAAAAATATCAATTTACACCTTAAAGACATAATTCGTATCAATGTGCACCTCAGATTAACTGTCATTCATTTTGTCGTTAAAAAAGTTTGGATTAATTATAAATTGCAGCCTTAAAACTCAAAATTTTCATATTTATGATCCAAAAATAGTATTTCTTTCATTAATACTCGTTAATTAGCTCTCAATTGTATTGTACCATAACATTTTGTGTCATGTTCGAATCAATAAAAAAAATTTTAAAAAAATTATAAAATACATATTTTTTGCTTATTATACTTGTTAAATAGTTTTTGTCTACAATTAGACACAAATTTTCTGTTCGATCAAATTAAAGTTAGATTTGAATAACACAAGTGTAGAAAAAAAATAGCTATTTAATGAGCATTGTAGGTAAAAAAATAAGTATTTTTTGTAATTTAAAAAAAATATTAAATAGTATTATATAAATTGTCGTAAATGTGAAATATACGACATAATGCAATTGACTCGATATGAAAATATTTTGTGTTAAAATTTTTTTTTTATCGACTTGAACACAACACGAAAATGATATGACATGATACAAAATAACGTGATACGACACAATTGAGAGGTATTTAACAAGTATTAATAGATAAATTCTTTTTTAATCATAAATGTGAAATATTTAAACTTTAAAGGTGTAGTTTGTAATTATTCCAAACTTTTTTAACGGCAAAATGGATGGTAGCCAACCCCTGGTGCACATTAACATAAATTTATGTCTTTTAGGGTATAAATTGATATTTTTAAACTTTGAGGGTATAAATTAAAATTCGAATGATCTTTTAGGGTGTAAGTTGAAATTAGCCCTTTTTTGTTATGTAGGTATAAATTGTGGGTTTTTGTTGTCTCGCTCTGGTCTCACACACACGCACACACATCTCTCATCTCTCTGTTTTGGACGATGAAAACTGCCAAAGAACAAACACACTCGAAAAAGGCAATGAAGCTTTGCTCCTCGATGCTTTGAACCCAGAACCCGAAGAAGTCATCTATGCAGAAATTCCATCAATCTTTTTGTCTCTCGCTGTGCACTATAGGGTAAACACTTTTAGATCTATGTATATATATATATATATATATAGGCATTGAATAGGTCCCCATATCTTTTTTTTTTTTTGTTTTTTTCCTAAACAATTCTGTGTCATTTTATGTGTTATGTATCGATGTGTGTGAGTTTGTGTGTGCTGATCTGTTGAGCGTGTGCTATGTGTTGAATGTGTGATATGTTTAATGACTTATTTAATATAATTATTTTATTTTATGTGTTATTTGATGAATTAACGAATGTTTTGAGATAATAAATTTTAATTTGTATTTTATTGTACGTGATATTATAAATATTGATTTGTATTTGAATAACTTGGACCGGTTAATTAAATATATTTTTTTATTTTGTTTTCGTAAAAAGATAAAAATAAATAACTTTCAAACATATTTTTATTTTTATTATTTATCATCAAATAAAATAAAAATTATTTCTATTTTTTTTAAAAAAATACTAAAATAATATCATTACCAAACCACCGGTCTAATTTCTATGTTTTTTTTTTTTGGGTAAGGAATTTTTTTTTTTGTTTTTAAGTAAAAACTTTCCATTTTATACTCTTTTATCTCTCCTCCCCTATCTCTCGAAAATTGACACCCAAATCCCTCTCTCCATTAACGATTTCAAATCCTGTGGCCTAAACTCCTCTCCATAATTCACGCCTATTCACTTCCTCTCTTGCGCTTTCTCTCCCTCTCTTCTGTTATTGACTAACTGCACCAGATCCACTACCAATAGCAGCGATGGCGAACCCACCGCTACTAGCACACTACTGTCTGTTAGGTCTCTATTTGCTTTCCCCACACTAACACCCACCGTTTGAAGCTCTCTCTCTCTCTCACATGGGCTCTCACGAGCGACCAAATCAATGGTGTAGAGACCACATCGAGCAATAGCGACTAGATTCATGGCAATAGAGACCACATCCTTTGGTGACAGAGACTAGATCTCCGACCACATGCTCCGACAATACTAAACAAAGCAAAGCTTTGATATACTTGTGTGAAATTGGTTAATTTAATGGATCAATTTTCTGTAGTCTTCTTTTCCTTCTCTTCGGTATTTATAAGAAATAACTGTTACTCATGTCATACTTTCTGAGCATAGCTATAATTATGACTTTTTCTATGGAGATACGTAGACATGTTGAACCGTTTCTAATTAACATGTCTTCAAATGGTGTCTCATAATGTCAATTTTTTTTTTTCGAATTCTTAGATTTTCACCTGTTTAATCAGTCTATTAAATTTGAACTCTCACTGAATTTTTTATTTTATGTGGAGTCAAATTCGTGTGTATCCATTTTAATGGATAAAATTGACATTTGGACTTCCAACTAATTCGGAGAATTGGGACAAAAAGTGGTTTATTTGCATTAAAGTTTTCGTGGGGACAATTTCGTCATTTCGTTCCTAATAGCCCTGATGGCCGCCTAGCTCATCTACATATACGAGCACAGGTCTCTGTGTACGAATAGATTTTCCTAGTTGGCGCCCAGAAAGCCAGTGAGTGAGAAGACGACGAGACGGACACCTCTCCTTCTTCACTCCCGAACTCTCCTCCTTCTTCCCCAAATCCGGCCATTACTAGTTACTGTCCTGTAATTTAAAAACCCTAGATAGATCCCAGTGTCCCAATCTGGTGTTGCCTGATTGATTCATTCTGTATTGCCCTAGACCCACTCTTCTCTCACTCTTAAATTCAGATTACCATATAAATTAGATTCTCAAATTGATTGATTTAAATCCTGTGTACCAGTACAGGAAAAGTTTATTTTTTGCCAATTCCTACGACGCTGATCGCCGGAAATGACTGACGGGCAGGTGATAAAGCGTGCAAGGTATAAATCGTCAGTCAAGGACTTTGGAGTTCCTAGTGTTCTGAAAATGGTAATTTTTTTTGATAATTGAGCAAAGTTTCTACATGTGTAAATGCTTCATTGTTTGCTAATTTATTGTTGTTACTGCGTGCAGACTCGGGAGAGGTTTTTTTTTATGCCAAATGATCCGAAATCATCTGCAAGGCTTAATGTAGAGTTTAGATTGGTTAAAGGTACTTTGTTTGTTAATGCACTTGATCCTTTAGGAGAGTTTTCAATTGTTAGTTGCAAGATGATGCAATGTTACAGTCTATGAGTTTTTTTTTTTTTGTTTTTGCTGGAAGTGCTGGATGGTTAGGATGAGATGTAAGTAGTGCCAAAAGAGTGGTCTTTGATTGCCATTTTGCGGTTTATAAATGAAAACGGGAAAATTGTTGCGAAAATACCTATGCGCCTTGTCATACTGTTCGTCAGGATTGCTTTGGATGTAGGAAGCTGAGTGTTCCTTTAATTAATCCATCTTATTGTCCATTTTGTTTAGCACACATCTTATTATTTTGTGACAAAGTTGTTAATGTGTTTCTATCTGTCTTTGTTGTGAGTTTTCAGGTCACAAATTTACCAAGGAGGGTTCCAACAAACAGGCCCTGCTTAATCTCACAGTGGATCAGGTTTCTCCTCTGCTATATTACCTTCTAGACAGTTCTTTTAGGAATCCTTTAAATTTGTTCAGTTGCTGAATCTTATGGCAGTTAGGTTGAACTCCATCTATGAGTGTTCGTTACATGATATTGCACAATACTTTTCATGATATATTGATATTTTTTTGTGTCTAACTAAGCATATTTACTGTTGCTTCAATTATAGTGACTTAAACTTGAAAATCTTATTTGTGTCCAGGGAGGAAATTACATTTTTGAATTTGACACTTTTTCTGATCGTGATGCTTGTCGTGAATATGTTGGTAAGTCTCTCTTATTAACTATAATTAAGTACGTAGTTGGACATCATCTAGAGTGTTTGGAATAATCAACCTCAATATACTGTCTTGATTTGATAAAGTTCTTATAGAATTGGGTAGCTTATATTGGATGAAATTGTTCACATGAAGATTTTGTATCTGTTAACTTGCAAACAGCAACAGCTATTGCAGTATCCGGAGAAGCTGGAAGAGCTGGTTCTGAGAGATCAGCTGCTCCACTTCAAGATGAACAACTTAGCCATGCAGAGATGGAGCGTCGGATTAGACTACTGCAGGAGGATAGGTAAACTCACTTCCGGTTATCTTGACAAAAATTGTTTGTTCCACGGCAAATTATTGTTCAACTTATGCACTTTGTGACTACAAGAATCTTGTTGTTCGCTTTTATCAGTTACTTACTTTTGCATAAACATATTATTCTGAAACTATATGCCAGGTGGATTTCAAGGTTGTATCATTGTGCAAGTTACTACAAATTATGTAATGTCTGAATTCCTATGGATCTGTTGGCATACTCTTGTGAAATATGAACAGAACTTTTGATAAAATGTCCAGTTTCATTGTATCATTGGCTGCTGAATTTAGTATTTCGTCTCTTCACATGTAAGTTTCTCTTTTAGTTGATAAGGTATCATTTGCAGTGAGTTGCAGAAACTTCATAAGCAGTTAGTGATTGGAGGTGTCCTATCAGAGGCTGAATTTTGGGCAACAAGAAATGTTAGCTATTGGTTATTTTTTTTCCAATATGTCAGCTTCTACGAACATGGATTTTAGGATAAGCGAATTGAACTGTGAGCCTATGTGTGTCTACCTGGAGAGATGTGCTCTTTTTATTAGTTAGATATACTCTTGGGAAAGCTGTAACAGAAAAGTTTATTTTACGATAAAGTGCAGAAGTTGCTGGATGAGAATGCCAGCAGAAAGTCAAAACAACAGGTGGGGTTGAGAAATGACATGTTCCATGTCAAACCATCTTCTGATGGTTCGGTATAACATAGATCTCTCTCTCTCTCTCTCTCTCTCTCGTGAAGTTTGAAACGTATGTTATGAATTCTAAGTTCTGTTTTTTACTTGCAAGATTACTTGAGGTGCATTGTTTACTAAGTAGACTCATTTCTAGTTTTTGTAACTTCTGGCAATTTCTATAATGCTTATTTTCTTTGAATGTTATTTTTTCAGTCTAACAAAGTTACTTTTAATTTGACACCCGAGATTATTCACCAGGTATGGCTTGTTCTTTCTTTTGATTCATCCAGAATTTTGCCTGTTATATTATTTGACATTGCAATTCTTAATCAATAATGGTGCATAGCCACGTTTTCTTTTGGTCAACATTAGTACCGTTGATGAAAGTCTATTCTGGAATGTGCATGTATTTGTCAATTAATTGGATGCATTATAATGTGGTGATACTCGTTTGACAGAGTAGCATTCTAGTTGCCTCACTTTAGTATGATGTGGTGATACTCTTTTGACAGAGTAGCATAGCACTCTACTTGCCTTAGTAAATTGGATGCAGTATTATTTGGTGATACTCTTTTGGCAGAGTAGCACTCTAGCTGCCTCACTTTCTTATGTTTATACATGCTTGGATCTTTGATTGTCTAGCCACAATTTACACATATGCCAAGGTCTATATGGAATGTGTTTGGTGGTTGTTGTTTTGGGGAGTGGGAGCAGGTTGTAAATTATGTATTTATATTGTTTGTTTGCACTGGCAATAACCTTACAACGTACAACGTATGATACTTTTTTTGATATGTGCTATGGTGGGGGTAAACTTAGTTGATATGTTGTTTTGAGTCATAGTTCACTTTGTAATTCTTATTGAGATCGCTTCACCACTGTATAGATTTATATATAAATATACATTCATATACACATGGTTAACTAATATTTATTTCAAAAAGGATAAAAAATCTAAAGCGCATAATCCAAGACACGTGCCAGCTACAACTCAACTCAACATATTGACTATTTGTTGTCAATAATAAAAGTTAGGAGTTGCATATTTGTGTTACGAAAAAAAATTCAAATCACAACATATCAAGATATAAATTTAACAATCATCAAACTAAAGAAATAACCATGGATATATTTTGGGGTTAGAGTTATAATTGGGGATTTGTTGGACCATGGTTTGAGTTACAATTTGGGTCGGTCAATTTGAACAATTTGGCTTGTGAATCCACTCTATTTCTGATCGTACGACCCTGGTATGTGGGACGACGCTAGGGTATCTACGATTTTGATATCTATGTGCTTGATGCCCGAGTAAATATGTAATTAGGGGAGAAAAATAAATTTAAGATTGGCTTAAATATGTGAAAGGCAAATGAAAGCAAATGGAAAATATTACAATATATCTCTTGCTTTTGTTGCCCATTGAAAAGGGAGGAAAGTTGCTTTCGTTGATTCATTGTATTCTTTATTTATTGAGAAACCAAAAGAGAGTTCTAACGGGATAAGCGAAAGGGAAGATGTTGGATTGGATTCAAGTGGATGTTCCAATAAAGGATGGGGAGAGAATGGAGGGGAGGAGAGTTGTTGTCCTAACTGACTTGTGTAAATTTACATCTTGCAGAACTTAATTGTGTTAGCTTTTTGCTCCTCACTATTGGTGACATGGATCAGTCATGCATTTTGAGTAGTATATAAACCGGTGACTTAAGTGTGCTCGGCTTGATACGATAGAAAGTTTTGTACTTTGATGCATATCTGTCTTTGCATGGTTAGTTATTGGTTAGAATTGTTGATAATATCATTGTGACTCAGTAGCCATCTACTTCTTTCTCCCTCTTATTTATTGTTGGATTGACTTTCAGATTTTTGCTGAGAAACCGGCTGTACGCCAGACATTTCTAAATTTTGTTCCAAGCAAGGTTAGAGAATGTGCAACTTTTTTCTCTTTTTTGTGGCAATATTTTTTTTCCTCAAAGATCACCTCCTTTTGTATTTTTCTCATTAACTTTAAGCTAACTTCTACATTGGGGTTATTGTATACATTTTCTGGATTCCAGATGACAGAAAAAGAGTTCTGGACGAAATATTCAAGAGCAGAATACTTGCACAGTACGAAAAATGTTGTTGTGGCTGCAGCAGAGGCTGCAGAAGATGATAAGCAAGATGACATGGCAGCAAGTGAAGCTCGGCGGAAAGTGCTCTAGATTAGAAGATTGGGGTTTTGCATTATTTAGGTCCGGTACATTAGACCTATTTTCTGCAATCTTATTGATAGGGCCTGTAAGGATCATCGCTGCAAGTAGTGGGACTTGGTTTTCAGTAATGGTGTATATATGTTCTTTGCAATAGAATGAGCATTTTTGAAAGGGTTGTTTTTATTTAAACACGTCAGTCCATTTGACGTTTTTAAGTGGAATACCCTGACTCTATTTTTTCCTCTTCTTTCCTCCTCCTCCCTTATTTCCCCCGAATTATCTGGTCTGAGCTGAGCCTTAACCCACACTAAATTGCCTTCTTCCCCCAAAACCAGTCATTTGAGCCCCCCTCGAAGAACCACCACCATCGACTGACCACCCACGCCCACCCAGCACCACCCAACGATCGAAGCCCCAAATCCAAGCACTACCATCGAGGACCACCACCACTCATTACACGTTGCAACCCAGTGACCACCAGCGAGGACCACCACCTGCTGCTCGTCCAGCAGAGGTAAGTGTGCTGGTTTTGATTTGAAATTTGTCAGTAGCTTAAGATTGGTAGTTGAAATTCTACAATTGTATAAAATTGTCGATTAAGGCCTTAGTACATCTTTATTTTATTTATTTCATTTAATTTATATGAGGTACATATTTAATTTTTTTCACTTTTTCTCACTCTAACAACGAGGATGATATTTAGATTGGCAAAGGAAAAAAGTTAAACAATGCAATTGCCTAGTCGAAGTCCTATGTTATGTTCTAGTTTAACTATTATATTAGTTTGAAACCTCCAAAACTATGATGTACAATATATAGCAAATCATATACAAAAATCACAAGGGTAAGAAAAAATCACCAGTATGTATGGGATTGTGGATGATGTAATATGTCTGAATGGACCTGTCTAGAGAATAAGGTGGGCTGCTTTTACCAGTGGTATTCTGTGTTGCTTTCATTTTCATGCAACTAAACAAAGTGGTAATCTCTTGTCATGTAGTGAAGGTATTCTCTAGGTATTGTTGATTTTTGAATGCACATGTACATGGCTCTTGTCATGGTTTCTGAAAAAAGAAAACATACCCATATGCCAGATAAATAGAGAAGACACAAAATAGTCTCTTGTTTTGGAAGATCATGCCCTTAATCTAATGTGCACCCACGTGCAGTGAAACTCTACAGTTATGTAGGATCCTGGATTAATTCCTTAGTTGATTGCTCTAGCCAAAACTCTCGGAGTGGTTTGGTTTGGTAGGGAGGTAAAAGATCTTGTTATTGAGTAGATTATTGAGTTGAGTTGATTATTGATTGTGTTATTGAGTTGGGTATTGAGTAATTGGATTAGAATAATTGGTCCATTCCCTGAAGTGTATATATGTATGTTCTAAATTGCCAATGTGATCTTTGTTGGAAATGGTTATTGCCAATGCTGCCTTACAAGCTCTTTGTGCCTGATTTAAGTGCTAGAGAACCCAAGTCAATTAATCATTTTGAATCTCCCATCATTATGTATTCTAAATTCTCCAATAACTGCAATAGGTATCGACCAATCAAAGAGAAAGATTATTAATGTCGACCGAAAGATTAAACAAGTCCAATGATAGAATAAGGGAAAGTAGGAGGACCATGCTGGAGACAGAGGACCTTGGTGTTTCACTTCTTCAAGATCTGCACCAATAGCGACAATCTCTGTTACATGCCCATAACACAGGTATATTTGATTTGATATTCCTTGCAGTGATGCTGTCTTAAACCAGACAGAGGACCTTGGTGTTTCACTTCCTCTTTCCTGTTTCAGCTTTCATGGAGAGGATGACAACATGAGCAGGAGTAAAAAAATTTTGACTGCCATGTCAAGAAGGATGAGCAGGAACAAGTGGATTATCGGAGCTGTGATTGTGGTCCTTCTTGTTGCTATCATCTTAATTTTATACTTCAAGCTTTCAAAATAGTCAAGACACTCTTTTCTTGGGTTTGTGTTGCTCTCTGAAGTCACGAGTTTTTGGCTTCTCTTTTTTTGTTGTGCTTGGTTTATTGAAGTCCTGTTGAGTGGATAATCGCATATAATGACTCAGATTTCTGTTGCTTTGTTTTTTTTTTTTTTGTGTTGTCATTTTCTGCTGTTTCATTATCGAATGAGAATGAGATCAGAATTTCGGAAGACTGAAAATGTTAATATAGATTAAATTGAAACATGTGAATGAAATGAGATTTCTTTTGGTTCTGCCGACATTAGATGAAGCTTGACTTTGATTTCACTTGTGGCATTTTCTGATGATGTTTTTTTTTTTTTTGAACTTTGATGGTTATGGGTTTTGGTGGAGTCAAAATAGTAACTTCTATTGCGCAGGAGCATCTTGCTCGTCGTCACCATCCTGAGCGATATAAAAAAGATGGAGATTCATGGTATGTGAATGTACAACATTTTACACCACTGGCGCCTGATGGTACATTAAAAGTATTGAATTTTTTCTCAAGAAACGGAGCAATTTTCATCAGTCAGGCACCCCTCTAGCTTCACTCTTTTTAGAAGGAAAAAGAGGGGACATGATCCACCAACTTACCACCGAGTAATTAGTGTGTAATGGTAGCCGATGTTAATTTTTTTAAAAAAATTTGATTTATTAGGTTCTAAATGATCCACAAAAGAGAGCAATCTATGATCAGTATGGTGAAGAAGGGCTACAAGGGCAAGTGCCACCACCATAAATATTTAATCTGCCATTTATCTTTGGATGAAAAATATTGAAATCTACATGAAAGATCATCCTCCCATGTTGATGCCTTCTCTTTCTAATGCAGTATAAGGATGGTGCAAACCACTATACATTAAATGAGGAGCTTAAAGAATGACCACTTTTGTAACACTGCTTTTATTTTTGAAACGATTTAAATTAAATAGATCCACGATTAGATGCTATATTTCTAAATTGGATTCACTCGTTTCTCTTCTTCCATCTTTTTTTTTAAGAAAGGGAAATCTTATTTGATTGAATCTCAAAAATTACAAGAATCAAGAACAGAAACTGTTTAAACAAAAATATAGAAAACAGTAAACTGATTAAAAAAAATCAGAAAAAATTGCTATAAAACTGTAGTATTTTCTTCTGTACAGCCTGCAGCATCCTCACCTCAACTTCTGGCTCTCAAAACCCCATCCTTTTCAGCCTTGCAGAAAGCATACAGGACTCCTGGAATAAAAATAATCTTCCAGTCAGGCAGAATGCCACTAACTGAAAAATCAAGATCAGTCTGCTATACATAGTTGCTGATTTTTTGGCTCCATTCACTGATTTTTCAGTTAGTGGCATTCTGCCTTTGACTGGAAGATTAATTTGACTTGGGTTCTCTAGCACTTGAATCAGGCACAAAGAGCTTGTAAGGCAGCATTGGCAATAACCATTTCCAAGAAAGATCACATTGGCAATTTAGAACATACATATATACACTTCAGGGAATGGACCAATTACTCTAATCCAATTACTCAATACCCAACTCAATAACACAATCAATAATCAACTCAACTCAATAACACAATCAATAATCAACACAACTCAATAATCAATAATATACTCAATAACCAGAACACCTCTTCGTGACATCAGTTACACTCTATACAAAAGATGAAAAATTGCAAAAGAGAACTCTTTCGAAATATTAAAAGGCATAACACCTTCAGTTCAGGAACGACATTGCTCTAATGATGTTCAGCACCCAAGTTAAAAACATTCAATATTGATATTATAACTGGATTCAAAATAAAACTATTATCAATCCAAAAGATACTTGGGTGGATCTAGAAGTAGACCCATCTTTATTTATACTCAAGATTTTCAGTGGACCAACAAATTACCTTTCCTATATGTTCAAGCCTATGAAAAATTACACTTAAATCTGATGGTTCAAAACCTTTTCTTCACCAATCATTCTAAACCCATTTAACCACTCTTCCTATGAAGAAGAACCAAACTACCAGATTTACAGAGAAATGTTCCTAAAGGAACCACATAAGAAAAAAGATCTATTCAACTTTAATTGATCAATGCAACAAAATGTGCGCACAAATTGAATAAAACCAACTATTGTTCACGCAATATAAGCACAACCAAATCAAGCAACAACCATTCAAGAGATCAAGAAAAGTTGAAAAACATTTACCAGCACAATAGTGGTGATGTCACGAAGAGGCGTTCTCGGGTACCGAGTAGTGCTAGGCGGTGATGGGGCGGCCTTCGAAGGTGGCGGGCTTCGGTGCTTGGTGGTTGTGGATGATGATGCGATGGCGGTGCTAGCAGTTGGCTAGGGGGTGTAGATGGTGAGATTTCTATTTCTCTCGCCTAAAAACGTTAGGGCTCAGATGGGGAGGGGGGAAGAAGGGAAAATAAGGGAAAGAAAAAAGGGGAGGGAAAAAACGATGTTCAACTTAAAAACGTCAGTTGTACTGACATTTTTAAGGTCCTTGAAATGTGCCTGTTCAAGCTTAAAGACGTCATTTGGACTGACGTTTTTAGGCTAAAAACGTCAGACCGACTGACGTCTTTAAGCCCAAAAACGTCAAACCAATTGACGTTTTTAAAAGTACTTGAGTTTGAGAATTATTTTCAAACCAATCTTTAATTGAGATATTTTTTTTAAAACCCCATGGGATGGTTCAAAAGCTCCACAACACAATGTTAAAAGTGAATTATTATTATGCTTTTTTCAGACTTCACCAGGACGTGGTGAGGGGATTCCTGAGGAATGCACGTGACTCACAAGCCAGCACATCCTTTCAGTATGTGGGAGATAGAGAAGTTAGCAGAGGAGGCTGGGTTGCACTTGGTTGAAGAAGTATATTTCACCACACGGGATTACTAGTGTTATGAAAATAAAAGAGGAGATGGGTATAGAAGCAATGACACCTTCCCTGTTGGACAATGCAGTACATTCAAATTTTATAAGTGATGATGTCCAGCTATCTCTCTTTGGCTCAATTAGTTATCCTAATCAAGATCTCTTTAAGTGATCATCATTATTAGAGATGATTTCACATCAAGAGCTTTAAAAAATGTAAGGGAAAACGATATTAGAAACAAGAAATTCCTGGTTAATCATGGATCTTATGCACTAGTGATAAATAATGGGTTCCACTTGCATTAATGATAGATAATTTAACAATGAGTAAAGTTGAGCAAAAGTATAATGAAAAGTATCTTAATCTCATGGTATTGATGGTAACTCCGTTTTACCTGAAATAAAATCTGCATCGCATTGTAGATCAAGGCAGTTGTTCACTCTCTTTTTCCTCCACTTCAAGGAATTAGTTGTGTCACCACCTAATAATATAAGTAGACAAGCGAATCCTATAAAGTTTAATAATACCCTATCTATATAAGATAATAACTACTTATGCAATAAAATGAAGTTCATTTTAACCACTTATTGTTTGTCATTACATAGTGCCACCACGTATCAGTGGTGACTTGATGTCGCCACAACACCATGACTTTAGAACAGTCATCGAAGTAGTTCAACTTGGGAAGCAGATAATCCCATTTGTGGAATCTTTAGTGAGTCACTTCAACACTTTACACCGGAGGGGAATGAATAAGGACCGCTATTGATTTGCTCTTTGAAACTGCGGTTTCTGGGGGTTAGCTTAATTTCTGGTGGTACGAAAGAATAAGGACAATGAGAAGGAGAAAGGGGAAAATGAAAATAGGGAGGAAAAGAAGGGAGGAAATAGAAGAGAAGGAAAGAGGGATAAAGAGCATAAAAGGAGAAAGAGAAGGAAAAAGAGGAAAATTGGGAGGAAGAAGTGGGGAGAAAGAGAAGGAGGAGGAGGAAAAACGAGAGGAAGAATGAGGGAGGAAAAAAAGAAGGATAAGGAGGAAGAGAATGGAAGTGAGGAACATTGGTGAATTGCGAGAAACAGAAACTAAAACAGAATTGGAGAAGGAAAAGGGGAAGAATGAAGGAGAGGGAGAAGGAGGGAGGGGAGAAAAAGCTGAGGAAGAAGGAGAAGACGAAGAAGAAAAGTCACTTGAAAGATCAAAATTTATGATCAATCCCATTTTGCCCTTGAAAGATACAAAAATGCTCAGTTTGGCCTCCCGAATAATTAATTTTTCCATATTATCCCCTCAAAGAAATAAAAACGTTACAATGTAATCCACTGTCTTATTTCGGTTTGGTCGTCCATCTGTTTTGTACCAAATCAAACAATCAGGAATCACAAAACAGACGGACGACCAAATGAAAACAAAAAAAAAGAAATAAGATAGTGGATCACATTGCAACATTTTTATTAGTTTATAGGGGTAATGTGAAAAAATTAATCATTCATGAGGCAAATTGAGAATTTTTGTATTTTTTAGGGAGAAAAATGAATTTTTTTCCAAAATTTATAGCGGCTTTGAGGAATATCAGTGAATTGCGAGAAACAGAAACTAAAACAAAATTGGGGAAGGAAAAGGGGGAAGGGGGAGGAGGAGGAGGAGAAGGAGAAGGAGAAAAAACAAAAGGAAGGAGAGGAAGAAGAAGAATGAAGGAGGAGCAGGAGTAGAAAAAGCAAAACAACACTAAGTCAATATTGTAAAGTACTCTTTTGCGATGGACATACATTGATGGAGAGGAAGAAGGAGGAGAATGATAGGAAGAGGAAGACAGAAGAAGAAAAAGGTGAAGGAGAGAAACAATAA